AATGAATTAGTCTTTAAAAGTCAGAATCCTTGTTATTTCAAGTTTTGCTTAGGAGATATTTGAGGAGAAAATTTTTCTCTATTTATAACACAATTTGTCTACCATTACCTAGCACTACCACTGAAGGTATTTATGTTTGACAACAGTAATCTGGGGACAGTGTGAATAAACCTGATTATTGTAAATATCTTTGCTCTTGTCCAAGTACATTTGAGTTGATCGCATCTTTATCTGACTAAACTCTTTGCCGAGTCATTCTTTCTTAGATGGAATGTTATTTTTAGTAATGGATCATTATTCTCCCTCCTTATCTGGTATTGTATTTTCCTGGCACACATTAAGAGCAAATGTGAAGAGTGCTTCTGATGCATTATTCAGAAAATCAGAAGCTGAATTTGGTTTATATCAAATACAATTGAAATTAAGTAAGAAGGACACAGCGTCTATGTAGGCAAGATTTTCTACAAGGGAAAGAATTTCCCATTTTTATCTCTTTGTATCAGTTTAATGTAGCACTTGATTTTTAGTCAGGCTAAAAGACATTCATCTATCTTCCACCTTAATTTTTAATTCCCTTGACTCTTAATAATCCTTCATGTCATTTTGATATACCTATAATTTGAGATTCAAGAAAATGAATTTGTTTTTCCTTTTGTTATTTCAGATGATTTAAATGGTATTTATTTATTTTTTTTTTTTGTGGTGAAACATAGAAGAGAGTGAGGAAAGCAGGATAGGGCAAAAGGAAGGAGTTGGGCAAAGATAGGGGTTCAGAAGTTTAGAGCTTTAAGAGTGAATGTCCCCCTTCCCATAGGCAAGGGATTAGGCTGTTACCTCCACATCAATCAGTTAATGGTTACAGGCCACCAAGACCTGGGGTGCTAAATATCCATATGGAAGACCTTGTCTTATTTGCCTGACCGCCTCAATTCAAATAATCTTTGTGTCCATTTCTCTTCAGTCATTTACCAGTCACATGCAGAGCTATTTCACCAATATAATTTCAAACCCCCAAAAAATTATCTGATCAGAGCTACCTTCCTACCACTTCTGCTCCTTCTCTTTCTCCTACCAAACTTGCCTGTGCCTTCACAATGACCTCAGTTCCCTTCCCCCACTGCCTTTTCACTCCTCTGTCCACACCCCTCAGTATCACTTATTCCCACAGTCAGCCTAGACCACATGGTCAAACATGACTCTCAAGCCCTCACTCTTTAAGACACATTGCCCCCACTTATTGTTTCATACCCATGGTTTATTTGTATAGATTGTTTCCTCCAAATGAAATGCCAGTTTCATCTTCTTGGCCTGACAAACTCCTACATGCATTTCAAGAATTATCTAAAGTGTCCTTTTATCAGTGAAGATTTCCTTCTTTCCCTTAGCAAGAGTAGGAGGCCTAAGTGGGCATTTGCTGTTTGGTGGCTTCTCATCATCCATTTTACTTTTCTCACCATCCCAATTTCCTTTTGAGGAATTAAGTGTTCCCCAGTGGGTACATTCTTACAGCAATGTAATGAGAAACCTTGTCTCCCCTAATTAGACCCATCAGAATCATCATGGAATCTGGAACAAGGAGAGGAAGATCCTAAAATGAGTGGATTTCAATCCATCCCTGCAGTAGCGTCTGTCTCTGGTCTCTCGCATCAAAGCATCTGTCTCTAGCTTCTGGTCTCTAGCATCTAGCATCTGTCTCTAGCATCAAAGCTCCAAAGAGCTTTTATTCCTGACTGACCCCACTGATTTTATGAGCTTTCAACAGCCTCCCAGTAAATTCCTTTTGCTTAAGTCAATCAGATTAGGTTTCTATTGCTTACAAACAAAGAAGGCTTCTGTACTCCCACAGTGCCTTATTACAGAGTGCCTTCCACATGGCATTGTAATTTTTTGTAATCATGTCTGTCTCCACCACCAGGCTAAGACAGCGTCTCCATCATCTTTGGAAACACGATATCTAGCATTGTGTCTAACACATGATAAGTATTCAATTCATTCTGATTAAATGGACAAGTAAATGTATGAATGACAGAGAATAAGTTGCTTCCAGCTCTTTTCTTTTCCATTAATACCTGCTGCAGGCAAGTGGGCCCTTTTTGTTCCAAAGCTTTGCTTCTGTTCATTACCAACAAGAGGATTCTTCATGAATTCCACAACAAAGACTGACAGGGATTAAGGAAGAGACTTAATTAGAGAAATTTACAAAAGAAGGTTCAGTAAGAGAAAGCAAAGAATCCCATTTCTCCCATCATCTCAAAGAAAGGTGAGCTGGGTTCTGGGATTGCTGGACACATGGAAGGTCTATACCTCCTATTGCCTACGTAGAGTACAATCATGAGAAAGTGGCCTTTATCAGAGGTGGGCTAGTTGGGTACCCAGCTGGCTAGGAAAGTCAGATGTCCAGCACCTGGAGACATTGGGGAATCATGGAAAATTATAGTCCTTCCTGTTTTTAGAAGCTAGCCACTGATCTGATGGGAAGCCAAATTGGGTGCATCCCTTCCCACAGAGAGAAGGAATAGCTGGTTTCCCATGGGATCCAGAGTTAGCATCTGTATTACTTTGCTAGGGATGTCATAATAAAATATCACAGGAAAGGAGGCTTAAATAGCAGAAATTTATTTTCTCACAGTTCTGGAGACTAGAGGTCCATGATCAAAGTGTCAGCAGGTTTGGTTTCATTCTAAGGCTTCTCTCCTTGGTTTATGAATGACCACCTTCTCAGTGTCTTATATTGCCTTTTCTCAGTGCCTGCATGCCCTTGATGTCTCTTTCTCTTCTTATAAGGACACCAGTCATATTAAATTAGGATCCCACCTAATGGCCTCATTTTAACTTAACTACCTCTTTAAAGACCTTATCTCCAACTAAAATTACATTCTGAGATGCTGGGGGTTAGGACTTCAACATATGAATTTAGAGGGACACAATTCAGCCCATTATAGCATCCAAGTTAGGTATGAAATAATGATTAAGGCTGTAGACATAATAACATGTCAAGAGCTCACTATAAATTATGTCTCTGACAAACACTGAAATACAAATTCATCTAGTTGAAGCACTTTTCATATTTCCTGCTGTGTGAAATAGTGCTCTGTCACACCTACTCCACCTCTTTTACCCCTGATGCTCATCCCACCACTTCTTAAGTCAGCTTAGAGCCATTATCACGACAGACCAACCAACAGGCATCCACTATTTGGCTGTTCAGAGGATTCCAGATTCAGGAAGATCCTTTACATCAAATTCAGAATGGTCTCTTCAAGTCATTTCCTGACTGTGCTTTCTCCAAATTTGGAAATTGTTAAACCTTAAAAAGGAAATTAAAGTGTTGTCAGATAACTTTATCTGAAAATTGAGCCTTCTTACAATAAAGAAACCTTGTATTTCAATACATTTGGGAAGTCAAAAAAAGAATTACAAATTAAAATAAAAGCCATGGGAAGAAATTTGTAGTGGTAAATCATTTGTCATATGTATATGCATGCACAGGCAACCTTTCAAAATGTATTCTTGCTCTTTGAAAGCATAGTACTAGGAGCAATTGCTATTCCAAACACAGATTAGTAGGTTATTCCATTATTCTCCTCTTTAATCATGCCTATAGATAGCATATAACTCAAAGCAGAAATTAGGTGCTAAAAGTGTCTGGTGTTACTGAATTGAATGGATAACTTGAAGCATTCAAAATAATTGCAAATTAGCTTTTAAGCTAAAAACATTTTTTACTTTAAAAAATAAATTGAACAACTCTGATGGTTTGTCAGAAAGAAGAAAAACAGGAACCACTTAAAGATTTTTGTGGTCTTGTTAATGAGGCATCAAATCTCAAAATACCTCTTTTAAAATGGTTTTAGGCATGGTTCACCTAATCAGAGGTTTCACTGAGTGTCATAATGGACTCAAGAGGCATTGTGATGTGGAAGGGTATTGGGGTTGGGGGTGTGCATGTGCATTCAGTGGGTGGAGTGGGGACTACAACTCCAACCCTAGATGCACACTAGTTATCTAGGAAATGCCCATTGCTCAGGCCCTCATGTTCTCTTGGAATCTTACAGTTCAAAGGTTGCTGGGCCATGATCAGATAAGGGAGTCTGAAAGGTAAGACCTTGGTGTTTAAGATCCTTTCTTTAGGGTACACCAAGCAACCCCTTTCCCTAGACACCTTGCTTCCTGCTTTGTATTTGCAGAAACTTGCATATCTTTCCCAGACTGGGAGCATCTCTCTCCCTCCTACCATCAGAAGCATTTTTCTATCTCCTCCACCCTCCATACATTTTCACAGAAGACAGGAAAAGGTTTTTGTATGTAGCCTCTACCTTCTGACCAAAGGCAAAGTGATCTTCTTGAAATGCAGAGGTTAAAAGATAAGGAAAGTGTAAAGGAGGAAAAATTTTTCCTCTACCTTTCTAGGTTCTTTTGGCTGGTTAATTAATTAAGTTCACATAAGACAGATTAATAGGAGAAAAACAAATTTAACTTCATATGTACGGGCATTTGAGGCTTATATGCCATCCTGAGCTAAAAAAGAGGTAAGGGTCTGAGGCTTCAAAGAGAAGGAAGACAATTCATAGGAAGATTGGAAGAGCAAATGTTTGGTAAACAAATGATTTGCCATATCATACAGAGACAATAAGATGGAGATGAAGTTAAATAAATGTGCCCTGCCAACTTCCTCTTACCTTACCACACCTAGTCCATACTCTTCATAGTTCTCTCTGGTAATAACTCTTCCCGGACCAGGCCCTCTACCTAAATTCTTAGAGGCAATTAAGGGGGAAGTAAAAAGCCCTTTCTGAGACTTCTTGGTCTTGATTATCTTCAGTTCAAAATAATCTTCATGCCAATGTGGCACACTTTGGGGAGGCTTATCTGAACCCCTTCAGCACGTTAGGGGTTTATGGCAGTACATTATTTTGAAAATAGAAAACATAATGTTATTTTTCCTTGTTTGTCCATATTTAGTAAGAAAGCAAGCAAAGAAAAATTTCACAGATGAAGGAGACCAGCTGTTTAAGATGGGCATCAAGATTCTCCAGCAGTCTAAAAGCCAAAAACAAAAAGCAGAGTAAGTCTTTGTCCAGTTACTTAAGCCAATTTAAATTCCTGGCTGAGAAAAAAAGAGCAATCAAAAAAATCTAGCTTGTCATTAAAAGCTTATTGGCATAATAAATAAGTTTATTTGCCCTAAGTTTTTGTTTTTAAAAGGATCTATTGATGTTTAAAGTACCCTATAAATCATCAGCCTAAACAGAATTGTATTATAGTCCCTACACTTTAAGTGAAATGCAGAATTAAGGCATTGATCTGAGTATTCAGGCAAAAATATTCTATTTGGAATTTATTAGGTATTTCTCATGAAATAATATATGTTATTTGAATTAGAGTGGTTGTTTTATAATGCTTTATTCTGCCTCAGTGTTTGTAGAGCACTTTATGGTTTTCAAAGCACTTTCCTGTATGTGATTCCATTTTATCCCCAGAACAGCCTTATGAGTTAAGAAAAACTTGATTTCTCTCCCACCCCCTACCCCCAGTTAAACAGTTGGGAACAGAGATTCAAGGATGTTAAAATGAGGTAATCACAAATACACAGCTGAGAAAGTAACAAGACTGTGGCCACAGGGTCTCACTCCGTGTTCATCATTCCTCCTTTTTCACTTGTCTACTTTGTTTAAAGAAGAGGCAGAAATGTCTTGTGCCCCCAGTAGAGGGACACAACATGAGGTCACCCCTCAAGTCTCTAATTAAGACCTCCTTGAGATCAAATCCTAGCTCCACCCTTCACTGGCTGTTTTATCCCTGGGCAAGTTACTTAACCTCTTTGTGCTCTGGATAATACAGATAGATTCCTAGAACAATGCTCTATGCATAGTAAGCAGAAGATAAGCATTTGTTATTTTTATCTCTAACCCTTTAAATGGAAAGTGGAAGAGATGGAGAGAAGAAAACAAATGTATTTTGAAGCAATAATAAAAAGAATGGGCTCTGGACCTTCAACAAGGAGACATCTTTTGTTTGCACACAGATTAGGCCTAGCAGCTCTGCGAGAAGCATCCCAGTACTATGGTAGCCATTCCTACTTAGGATGGCAGCAGAGTCCCTGAATTCTTTCTTAAAGCTCAAAGCTTGTCAGAAGAGCATACGTTATAGAGGATAAAGGGGACATTCAGCTATGAACAACTTTCATTTATTAAGCCTCTCTTTGTGCTGCTTATTGTTCTGGACATTTATGTGTAGAATATCATTTATTGCTCACAGTGATATTGTGAATCATAATTTGTTATCCCCAAATTACAGAGGTGGAAATGGAAGGTCAAAAATATTCTATAATTCTTCCAAAGTGACAAGAAGAAGGAAGTAAAGGAGTTAGTCACCTCTTTTAAGGAAGTTAAATTATAAGAGCAGAGGAAACCATCCCCTGCCAAACCTGGGTGTCATGCTGAGCATTTCTTGGCTATCATGATGAGGATGGGGTTAAATCAGACCCCCAAAATACAATCCAGCCTGCTAGGAAAGTCTGCTCATTCAGATGATTACTGAGTGGATGAGAAGAATAGGAAATTCCCAACCCAGCCCAGCTAGATGAAAGAACAATGGAATTCTGGAAAGGGGCTAGTCCCTAAGATTTCAGATTAGCTCTCCCTATACCAGGTGAACCCTAGATGAAGGATCCACCAGGTATACCCTGTTAAATTCAAGGAAACCCTAGATTCAGACAATGGGACAAAATCACGTTTGGAAGCTCCCAAGTAACTATCCACTTAACCTTGATGAGTACCCTCCTCTTTGGCTTAAAGAATGGGGAGAAAACCCAGCCCTGAAAGCAAACTATCCAGCAGTGCAGGAATCTTCAAAAGACCTAGGTGTCATTCAGTCTCAGGCTATTCTTCCTAGCTTATCTTTACTCAAGAGTGCCAGAAAAGCAGCTTTTTAATTTTTTTTAAAGATTTTATTTTTAGGTAATCTCTATATCCAGTGTGGGGCTTGAACTCACAAATCTCAGTCACATGCTCCACTGAATGAGTCAGCCAGGTACTGCAAGAGCAGCTTATTTTTGCAGCAGCATAAAGCTGAGTCACCTGATCCTTCTGAATTGGCAGATAGAGAACTAGAACCAAATCTGCTCATAGCAAGAGACTTCAGGAATTTGTGGGAAAGCTGAATGAAATTCCTCCAGATATCAGGATGGTCTGCTCTTAAGCCATTTACATCCAGTATAGCCATCTCTAAGATTCTGGTCAGAGAAAAGAAAAATGAAAACCCTTACTGACCGCAGAGGAATCATTTCTCTCCCATTCATTCCTCAATCCTATGTCCTCCTTGCTCCACCACTTCTTCCATAAGACAGAGGTGCTACTAGTTAGTCTTTTTGGCTCATTGACATCCACATCCACATCTTAACCCAATTCATTCATTCATTCATTCATTCATTCATTCAGCTATAACTTGTTTAACAAGTCAGCACTGTTAGAAGTACAGATGTTAAGTAAGCATATGTCAGGGAGACACAGACTTGTCTACAGGAGTCAAGAAGCCTCAGAGACAACCAGGGTTAGCTGTCATTAAGAATTACTCCCCATCAGCAAAAAAGATTTAAAGATAAGTTGCTGCCCTACACCAAGTTTCTGACGTGTCCTAGGTATGCCCTTAATCTCCTCCTTCCCCAGCACACACCTTAGCACCCAATGCCAGATCCCTTAGAGATTATCTGGTACCTAACCGACCTTTCTTTTTGCCGGTTTCTCCTGCTTTTTCCCTCTTGGGAATTACAGTCCAGCTCTTAATCCTACCTAATTTACCAAAAACTTTCTTCAGCCCTGGGTCCTGCTTACATTTCCTTGGACTTTCTTGATAGGAGACTGAGGTATCCACCCTTCCCTTAGAATCAAAGATACTTAGATGGATTGGTTTTGCAACCTTTTGCTGCCCCCTGGGATCAGTGAAAGGATATAATACTGGCTCCTGCAGCCCATCTCTGATTTCTCTGCCCTGGTCCAAGTGGAGTGCCCTTCTAATCCCAGCAGGCTGTATGGTTGCAGCAGCAAACCCTGTGTCAGAATGACTCCAGGGAGTCTGTGTCCTGATGTCATGCCTATCTCTGAATGCCAGACATTTACATTCATTGACCTTAAGACCTTCTGTCTTATTTGCCTTCTGGTCCCTATGATCTTGGCTTGCTCTGACCATGGTTAATTTCTTGCCTGACCTCCTGGCTCCTTTTTTCCATTAGAGTCTATATTCTGTATTGCCATCCCAGACCCTAATGCCTGTGTGGCTCTCACGCAGTTCAAGCCCATTCTATTCTGCTCCAGACACCAAGAGCAAATTATTTTAGCATCAGCATGAATAGGTGGTGCATAAAGTGGAGTCTCCCAATCCTTCTGAGTAGCAATGGTAGATTTGTGTATTTGTTCCTATATTTGAGTCAAGGTCACGAGTAGAGGTTAATGCTTTCTGTTCTTCCCGCTACCAAAAAAGAAGTTATGAAAGTAAAAATAAATCCCAAAAGTACTCTCTGTCTCTGACATAAGTTTTGACCTTGCAAGGTTCTCCATCAATACTTGTTATACAGATCAGGCAGGTGATTTCTGAGTGAGACTCAGAAAATGTAATATCCGGCAATCCTATGGCATCCATATTTATAATCAATAAATTTTCACACCATTTACCCACTAATTACAGGAGAACAATTACCATGCTATAAAACTTTAGAATGTATGCAGTAGTCCTAATACTAATACCAACAATAATAGCGAAATTTATTGAGTGCTTATTATGTACCAGGTACTCTGCCAAGCACTTCACATGGATTATCTCACTGAATCTTCCCAGGAAATTTATGAAGTAAGTGCTATTGTTACCCCCACTCTACTGATGAAAGAGGCACACAGAAGTTAAATAACTTGCTTGAAGCTCTCAAACTAATAATGGTGGAGCCAGATTTTGTACCAGCCAGTCAGACTTTAGAGCCCTAACAACCATTGGGTTTTATTTGGTTATTGTTTTTCTACACAGTTGGACTTTGCATGCTTAAGACTATCCTGTGTTTTAGAAAATTATTTCAGAATATAAAGGGACTGTTGTTTTCATAATAGTAGCTTTCAAGATGTGACATTCCAGCTTTGATTATTTTTGATTATATTGCTTTATATTTCAGAGATCATTTTGTAAAACAAATATATAATGTGGGTGGCTATGGGGGAGTTCACTATTTTAGGACAAGTGCCTCAATTTTTCATGTCACTTGGTGAATAAGCTTGAACCATGATGTATCCTATATAATTCTCCCTTTCAGCAACTCCAGTATTTGTTAGGTATATCTGAAATCATAATCTGAGATAATGTAAGGCTGAAAAAATCCCTACAGATGTCATGGACTTCAGCTCAACTATATTATTAATAGCAATGACAACTTGGTCCTACTTATTAGAGGGAAGTAGTATGAAGGAGGGAGAAAGAAAACGTTTTTGATAATCAAACCTCTACCTTCATATATTTTAAACAGAGCCTACATATTCTTTGCCAAAGCAGCTGACATGGGAAACTTAAAAGCCATGGAGAAAATGGCTGATGCTTTACTATTTGGAAATTTTGGCATGCAAAATATAACAGCAGCTATCCAATTATATGAGTCCCTGGCTAAAGAAGGATCATATACAGCCCAAAATGTGAGTTTTAAAAGAAAAGTAAGCCTTACATAGCTATATCCTAAAATAACTATAGACAAATAATGTGTGAAAGGAGTTTAGCAATAGTATCCACACTCTGCTGCATGAACCCAGACCTAGGGAAGTTACAGTAGCACTCTAAAATAGTGATGTCAGGGCAGAGATACAGCAAGAGCCCTGGGAAAATTCTTATAGTTACATGGGTGAGTTTCAGGAATGGAATAGAACTGCTCTCTAATTCAGCTTCCCATTTTAAGATCATGAGTTGATTTTGAAATAATTTGAGAACTCTGAACCCCTAACATAGTTAAATTTTACATAAAATAAATTCACCTATGCAAAAAAACAAAAAGTCCAGAGGTAAATCTATTACCTTTCATGATGTTTGGTTTTTACATTTCAAAAATTTTATAAACTAAATATGTTTCCCTTTTTTTTTTTACTAAATGCATTTCATTTTATTCCAAGAATAACACAGAAAATCTGGAAAACAGAAAAACAAACAAACAAACAAATAAATAAGAAAAGCCAACCATTCTGACTCAACTATTGTTAGGATTGCTCTATATCTTTGCTTACCTTCTTCCTCATGCATCTCTTTTTTTTACATTAATCTAATCAATAATATGTCATATTATTTCTGGCTACTTTGACTTAATGCTATAGCAAAACCATGTTTTCGTGTTGTTGGTCTTTTTAATAAAAACATTTCTGATTACAAAATAAATTCATGCTTATTACAAAAAAAAAGTCTGAGAATTCAGAAAGTATAAAGAAGAAAGTAAAAGTTGTCTAAAAGCTTACCTCCCAGAGATCATTTTTGGTATCTCTGGGAGGAAAGTACAAAAGCTAGACTTTGGAGTCAGAAAGACTTAAGTTCAAAGCCACTTGCTTTTTAGATACCTCCTAAACAAAATCCTTTCCCCTTCTTCTATACGAGAATCCTTTGATATACTCTCTAGTTCTGTTTCCCTCATAATCTAATAGGAGTAAAATGTTAAGTGTGTTCCTAGGTAGCATTGCTACTTAGATTGAAATGACTTCTGATTGGCAAACTTCCTTCCTATTGAGGCACACTGTAATGAATTGTAAGTACCTGATGGTGATAGTGATTCTTATGAGAATTTGGGACACTATTTGTATGCAATCATTATTTGGGGAATGAGGCTCCTGCACCCACCTAATGTGGATCTTACCTCCTGGAGTCATCATCTGAGGGACCAAAGACAATGAATGCTGGAGGACTGTGTGAACTGCAGCAACAACTCCCAGAGGCGAAGACCTGATGCTACTCTTGGAAACTGTAGTGCCTGTGCTATATCCACCTGAATAGACTGATGGCAACTGTAGCCTGTGGGAACCTTGTGAGTCTCTGTTTTATTTAGTTGAAAGAGAACCTGGACTGGAAAACTTCTAATGGGTGGGACAACCTCTCTATATTTCATCTATAGGGTTAGGATATGATAAAATGCTGGATACTGTGTCCATCTGGTCACAGTTCTATCTCTAATATTTAGCAGAGTGCCTAGGACAAGAAATAGATGTTGAATGCTGAATCAATTAATGATGAATGATTTAATGGAATTATTTTTTTTAAGATTTTATTTATCTACTCATGAGACACACAGAGAGGAGAGAGAGAGAGAGAGAGAGAGAGAGAGAGAGAGAAACCGGCTCCATGAAGGGAGCCCAACACAGAACTCGATCCCGGGTCTCCAAGATCATGCCCTGGGCTGAAGGCAGTGCTAAACCACTGAGCCATCCGGGCTGCCCATATTTAATGGCATTATTGTGAGAATTAAAATAATGTGTAAAGGTATTTAATTCCATACCTAAAACTTTTTAATCATTCATTAAAAAGAAAGGATATAAATATTATTATTATAGAATTTTTCCTATAGCTAGATAGAATTTTTTGACAAAAATGAGATCATACTTTAATTGCTATTTCCTAATCTCTTTACTCAATAATATATCATAAACATCTAGCAATGTAAATATATACAGATCAACATCACAATTTTATTTTTTAAGATTTCTTTATTATTTGTGAGAGAGAGAGTGTAGGGGGAAGGGTCGAAAGGGAGAGAGATGGAAAGAATCACAAGTGGACTCCACACCAAGCATGGTGAGCAAGGTCGAAGCTTGATCTCACCACCCTGAGTTCATGACCTGAGCTAAAATCAAGAGTTGGATCTAGGGGGCAGATGGACAAGATGGTGGAAGAGTAGGGAACTCGACTCATCTGGTACCCCCTTACGTAGATAACTTTCAAAAACATCCTGAACACCTACGTATTCGACCTGAGAGGTAAAGAAAGAACAGCTGGAATACTATAGAGGGAAAAGTTTTCACTTCTAACAAGGATATGGTTGATATTTTGACTCCCTCACTCATACAGTCTCTCTGCACTGGACAAAGTGACTAGAAGGAAGAATTCACCACGAATGAAAGAACCAGAAACAGTACTCTCTGCCACAGTTACAGAATATGGATTTAAATACAATGTCAGAAATTCAATTCAGAAGTACAATTATAAATTTACTGGTGGCTCAGGAAAAAAGTGTAAAGGACTCAAGAGACTTCAACACTGCAGAATTGAGATCTAATCAGGATGAAATTAAAAATAGACTAAATGAGATGCAATCCAAACTGGATGCTCTAACTGCTAGGGCTAATGAAGTGGAAGAGAGAGTGAGTGACATAGAAGACAAGTTGATGAAAAGGAAGGAATCTGAGGGAAAAAAGAGCAAAAACAATTAGGAGCCCATGAGGAAAGGCTTAGGGAAATAAACGATAGCCTGAAAAGGAAGAATTTACGTATAACTGGGATTTCAGAAGAGGCTGAGAGAGAGAGAGAGAGAGGACCACAAAGTACATTTGAACAATTCAGAGCTGAGAACTTCCCTAATCTGGGGAAAGAAACAGACATTCAGATCCAAAAGATAGAGAGGACCTCCCTCCCACCCCCCGCCAAAAAAAAAAACCCAATAAAAACCATTCAGCACCTCGACATTTAATAGTGAAACTTGCAAATTCCAAAGATAAAGAGAAATATCTTAAAGCAACTTGAGACAAGAGATTCTTAACTGAAATGGGAAGAAATACCAGATTAACAGCAGACCTCTCCACAGAGACCTGGCAGGCCAGAAAGGGCTGGCATGATATATTCAGGGTCCTAAATGAGAAGAACATGCAGGCAAGAATACTTTATCCAGCAAGGCTGTCACTCAGAATAGAAGGAGAGATAAAGAGCTTCCAAGATAGGCAGAAACTAAAACAATATGTGACCACCAATCCAGCTCTGCAAGAAATATTAAGGGGGACCCTGTAAAAGAAACAGGGAGCCCAAAGAAATAATGTGCCAAAACAGGGACTGAATGGGTATTACAATGACACTAAGTCCATATCTTTCAATAGTTACTCTGAACGTGAATGGGCTAGATGATCCCATCAAAAGACACAGGTATCGGACTGGATAAAAAGCAAAACCCATCTGTATGCTGTCTATAAGAAACTCATTTTAGATCTAAGGACACCTCCAGCCTGAAAATGAAGTGGTGAAGAACCATTTACTATTCAAATGGTCCTCAAAAGAAAGCTGGGGTAGCAATCCTCATATCAGATAAATTAGAGTTTATACCAAAGACTGTAGTAAGAGATGAAGAGGGACACTATATCATACTTAAAGGGTCTATCCAACAAGAAGACCTAAAAATTATGAATATTTATATCCTTAATGTGGGAGCTGCCAAGTATATCAATTAACCAGAGTAAAGAGACACTTAGATAATAATACACTAATACTAGGTGACTTCAACACGGACTCTGAGCAAAGGACAAATCTTCTAAGCAGAACATCCCCAAGAAACAAGGGCCCTAAATGATAAACTGGAACAGATGGCTTTCACAGATATTTACAGAACTTTCCATCTGAATACAGCTGAATACACATTCTTCCCAAGTGCACATGGAACTTTCTCCAGAATAGACCACATACTGGGTCACAAGTCTCAACCAACACCAAAAGATTGGGATTGTCCCCTGCATATTTTCAGACCACTATGCTTTGAAACTAGAACTCAGTTACAAGAAGAAATTTGGAAGAAACTCAAACACGTGGAAGTTAAAGAGCATCCTACTAAAAGATGAATGGGTCAACCAGGAAATTAGAGAAGAATTAAAAAGATTCATGAAAATGAAGATACAACCGTTCAAAATCTTTGGGATACAGCAAAAGCAGTCCTAAGAGGGAAATACATCGCAATACAAGCCTCCCTCGAAAACTTGAAAAAAACCCTCCAATACACAAGCTAACCTCACACCTAAAGGAACTGGAGAAAGAATAAAAGCCTACACCAAGCAGGAGAAGAGAGAGAATAAAGATTAGAGCAGAACTCAGTGAAATAGAGACCAGAAGAACTGTAGAACAGATCAACGAAACCAAGAGTTGGTTCTTTGAAAAACTGGAAAAAACTCAAATACACAAGCTAACCTCACACCTAAAGGAACTGGAGAAAGAACAGCAAATAAAGCCTACACCAAGCAGAAAAAGAGAGTTAATAAAGATTCAAGCAGAATTCAATGAAATAGAGACCAGAAGAACTGTAGAACAGATCAACAAAACCAGGAGTTGGTTCTTCAAAAGAATTAATAAGATAGATAAACCCCTAGACAGCCTTATTAAAAAGAAAAAAGACTCAAATTAATAACATCACAAACGAAAGAGGAGAGATCACAACCAATACCAAGGAAATAAAAATTATTTTAAAAACCTAGTATGAGCAACTATACGCCAACAAATTAGGCAATCTAGAAGAAATGGATGCATTTCTGGAAACCCACAAATTACCCAAACGGGAACAGGAAGAAATAGAAAACCTGCACAGGCCAATAACCAGCAAGGAAATTCAAGCAGTCATCAAAAACCTCCCAAGACACAAAAGTCCAGGGCCAGAGCCAGATGGCTACCCAGGGGAATTCTATCAAACGTTTAAAGA